TTCCTCTTAAGAGCAAACTTCTAGCCAGAAGACGGGACCAGTGAGCTCAGGCCATTGCAGTGCACGTTCTAAGAGTGGCACTGTCACCACACGAGTGTGACCGGGTGGCCAGGAATGGGTATGCATCTCCGGTTCCTTGGGCGATGGCTTGGCACCAAGGCAGACGAGGGTTGCTCAGCCCTATAGTGGAGCGAGCACAGTCTGAATCCAGGCAGACCTAGGTTCAGATTCCAGCTCTGGCCCTGAGGGAGCTACTGAATGTGTCTGCTCATGCACCCTTCATTTGATGGGGACCTTCTTTTAAAAAATATATATATCTTTATTGATTTCATAGAGAGGAAAGGAGAGGGGGAGAGAGAGAAACATCAATGATGAGTCATTGATCGACCGCCTCCTGCACGCCCCCAACTGGGGATCAAGCCCACAACCTGGGCATGTGCCCTGACCTGACCAGGAATCGAACCCTGATCACCTGGATCCTAGGCCAGTGCTCAACGGCTGAGCCACACCTGGCCCAGCTCAATGGGGACCTTAATACTTACCTGGCAGACTTCCTCTGGTTATCAAATAAGGTCCTGTGAAAGGACACCCCTCAGTGGCTGGCACTAAAAGGGGGCTACTATGATTTCTGTTAGCAATATCGAGCCTTGGGTGTCCAACAAGCGCACATCTGAGCAAGTAGCCTGGCCCCGAGCCTTAGCTCTGTCCCTGTCCCCTTCCCATTCTTTAGAAGGTAAGTGCTCTGGGAGGGGAAGCTCGCAGGTGTCAATCCTGCCCAACAGGCCTGTGAGAGACAGGCTTCATGGCAGTGGCCCCCATTTGAGGGGAAGCAGCACCCAACAGGGCCCAGCTGTGCATCCCGGGGAGAGTCACCTCTGGGCCTCCATTGCCACATTGCAAGATTGGGGAAGAATTCCTGTCCTAGCTCAGTGGCAGAAGGCCCTCATTCCCCCTCCATGGCAGGTATTTGAGGAAGTACTTGCCTCGCGACAGGGCCAGGGTTGGGGACGGGCTGCAGAAAGGACCCTGACGCAGAGAAAGCCCTCTGCAAACCTTGCCGGGCTCAACCAGGTGGCTTTTCTCTGACCCCTGATGTGTGCGTTGCTGGTGCTTGTTAGACTCACAGGGGGACTGAATCTAAATTCCTGGAGTCTTCCAAGCGGAAAGCCATGGCTCAGAAGAGCCCCACAGACAATGACCTGAGCCGCCTCTGCAAGGACCTGGCGTCTGAGGTGACCAGACGGAGGTTCACCATGACCATCAGGTACTCAGAGCTCAGAGGGTCGGGTGGGTGCCCGAGGCTGCGGGAGACACTGGTGTGTGTAAATGTATTCAAATTGTTCGCCCATGGCGGCGAGGAGGCAGATTTTGTGAATAAGAAACTACTTGGTCACCCACTGCGGGAAACAGACCTTTCCCACGTGGTCCTTCAAGAGGTGATGGTAAGGTGCTGGAATGAAGTTCAGATCCGTGGCTCTTACTTTGGGTGATCACTTTGATAATCAGGTGGAAGTTGTGATGTTTCCTCTTAGTATAAAAATGCAGGACTTTGCAAAGTTTGGGGACAGCAGACCCCTGAAGCCCATACATGATCCCTCTCCATCACCCCACCTCCGCTGAGCAACACTGGGGTTCAGCTCTGACTAAGAGATGAACTTGGGGTCAGGAGGTCCGAGTCTGCGTCTTGGGGTCAGGAGGTCCGAGTCTGCGTCTTGGGGGCAGGAGGTCCGAGTCTGCGTCTTGGGGTCAGGAGGTCCGAGTCTGCACTTTGGGGTCAGGAGGTCTGAGTCTGCGTCTTGGGGTCAGGAGGTCTGAGTCTGCATTCTAGTCCTGCTTTTTACTGGCCACAGGACTGGCTCAGCTTCCTGGGCTGAAAAACTTCCTGTGAGATGTGGCTGAGAATCTGCATGTCATTCATTTCTCCTTCATTTCCAATCCCTGGAGCATAGCAAGTGGTCAGGGGACAGTTAAATATGGGTCTTTAAGCACTTGACAGGTGGGGTGTAGTTCCTTGAAGGCAGGGTTTGCCCAGCCCTGGTAGGCGGGGGGTGAGGGTACATTAGACAGAAAGGAGAGGTGAAGTGAGCCCAGGGCTGAGCTGGCCGAGAAAAGCTGGGATGCCAATGAAACCTTGAGGGAGAGCCTGCCCTGGGCTGAAATCGGAGAGCCGGCTGCTAGGGGTGGACCCAGGGCCATCGGTTCCATGGGACCAGTGCAGACAGGTGTGTTCCCTCTGAGAAGAGCCGACTCACAAAGTACAATAGCGTGTAGCTCGTTTTTGCCAGGTGACAGCTCTATCAGCATTGTAGACAGGTCAGGAAGTGGTTCTTTTTCAGGGCTGGGGGCTGGGGGTTTTATTTTTCTTGTTTTGAAAAATCCTGTCTTTGTTTAAATAGCATTCATTGTGCCTTTCCTCCCAGAGAAGACATGCTTACCAAGAAATGTGAGGAAGCCCCAGAGGTGCTCTCCAATTTGGATCAAGTCCTTTCCCCTGGCACGCCTGACCCCCCAGCCCCCCCAGCCCCACCTCCCTCTCCAGCTGAGGACCCCAAAGTCTCCTAGGCACAAAATGTCAGTCATTTTGAAATGGACTTTGACATATAACAGCAGAGAAGAGTTTACGGGAGGCCTTGCGTTGCCTTTGAAAACCGTCTTGGAAGATCTTTGTTTTTCTTTCCTGTTTATTTTCTCCTGCACTGTTGCCCATTGATATCCTCACAAATGCACCTGGAGTCATCTCTTTGGTTCTTCCGGCCAAGACCCTGATATGTGTGTATATTGATCTTTAATTTCTGTCATGATGTAGAACACTTATGGTAGTCAGTTGTGTTTGAATTAAAAACAAAACAATCAGACCTCAATGTTTGTTACTAAATCGAAATGATGAGAAGCCCAGGCCTCCCTCTGTGACATTAAACATCTGAGCTCCAGAGAACCCTGAGGTATTTGGGTTTTTCAAGACTCAGCCTGAGACAACAGATGCCACCTTGAGGAGAATGGGCGAGAGGAAAACCCTGACTGGACTGACGGGACAGAGTCCAAGCTGAACAGGCAAGAGAAGGTGTCCAACCCATTAGGTACAATGGCACCTCAAGATGGAGATTAAGTTCAGTCGTTAGAAAATAATGTTATAGAATTTGCTCACCTGAGGTTGTGGTTTATGAAATTCATGCCCATGACAGCAAATAAGAACAAAAGTGGAGTTAGGGTGAAGAGAAGGTGAGTTGGGGAAAGATGAAAAGAGTTCTGGAGGGGCCAAGAGGATCAGGAGATGGGGCTGGGCAGGTGTGCATTCCAGTGCTTGCCAGGAGTCATCCTGGGCAGCACCTCTGTCACACACACACACACACACACCCCCCCACACACACACACACACTCACACACTCACACACACACACACACACACACATTCACACACACC